TACACTCTCACCAAGTCTTTGCTTAGTACATTTTTTTAAAAAGATTTTATTTATTTGAAAGAGTCAGAGAGATAGAGAGAAAAAAGAGGTCTTCTATCTTCTGGCTCACTCCCCAAATGGCTGCAATGGCTGGAGCTGAGCTGATGGAAATTAGGAGCCAGGAGCTTCTCCTCTTTTTTAAAAAAGATTTATTTATTTGAAAGTCAGAGTTACACAGAGAGAGAAGGAGAGGCAGAGAGAAAGAGAGAGAGATCTTCCATCCACTGGCTCACTCCCCAATTGGCCACAACGGCTGGAGCTGCGCTGATCCGAAGCCAGGAACCAGGAGCTTCTTCCAGGTCTTGGGCCAGGACTTGGGCCATCTTCTACTGCTTTCCCAGGCCACAGCAGAGAGCTGGATTGGAAGAGGAGCAGCTGGGACTAGAACCAGTGCCTATACGGGATGCTGGTGCCGCAGGCAGAGGATTAACCTACTGCCATGGAGCTGCCCCCCAGCCCTTTTTAAAGATCCATTTATTTATTTGAGAGGCAGTTACGGGGAAGGGGGGGAGGAAGGAAAGGGGCAGGGAGACAGAGAGAAAGGTCTTCCTTCTGTTGGTTCACTCCCCAAATAGTTGCAATGGCCAGAGCTGGGCTGATCTGAAGCCAGGAGCCAGGAGCTTCTTCTGCCACTTGGGTTCAGGGGCAGAAGCACTTGGTCCATCTTCCACTGCTTTCCCAGGCAAGAATTCTAGCGGAGAGCTAAACTGGAAGAGGAGTAGTTGGGACTAGAACTGGTGTCCAACGGGACTTTGGTGCCACAGCTGGTGGCTTAACCTACTACACCACAGTGCCGACCCCATGAGTCATATTAACGTATGCCTGTTTCTTTCCTTTTCTCCCTATCCCCCAGAGCTCTGACCCCAGGGTTGAAGAGCTCCGTGCCACAGTGTACTGGGCTTTGTTCCCACTCTGAGTTTGCTTGTTTTCTTTGGAAACACTCCACCAAAGTACGAGCTTTCCAAAAGCTGGAGTACCACAAACAATAACACAACACTCTAGGATGACAGTAGCTTTTCTGGATGTGACTTTAAGAGCAGAATTAGGCTGGATGTGACTTTAAGACCAAAATGCATGATTTATGCATGTTTAGAAACCACTGACATGTTGGTGTCAAATCTGTTTAAAGATCAATTTACAGGGGCGAGCACAGTAGGTTAAAGCCCTGGCATCCCATAAGGGCATCAGTTCTAGTCCCAGCTGCTCTTCTTCAGATCCAGCTCTTCCAGCTCTGTGCTATGGCCTGGGAAAGTCCTTGGACCGCTGCACCCACATGGGAGACCTGGAAGAAGCTCCTGGCTCCTAGCTTTGGAATGGTGCAGTTCCAGCCATGGTGGCCATCTGGGGAGTGAACCAGCGGATGGAAGACCTCTCTCTCTGTCTCTACCTCTCTCTGTAACTCTTTCAAATAAATAAAATAAATCTTTAAAAAAAAAAAAAAAGATCAATTTACAGATCAAATACGAAACTTCATGTTTCAATGAAAGTAAAAAAGAAAACTGGTCCTTTTTCTTTAATGCTTCATGGAACAGAATTTGTATTTAATCAGAACACTACAAAGGCTTCTTTTCTGGCATCAACATAAAAGAAGTTGGAACTGTTAGATCTTTCGGTTTTCACATGTACTACCAACTAGGCATAGTATATAGTATATTACTGTGAAAATACTCAAATTCATAAACCAGAGGAAAAAAGGGAATTTACACAAAAAGACTGCATATCACTAGGTAGGGTGTTGAAATGACAGGATGTGTAATATTTTTTAAGTATTCATTTTGGGTCAGCATACATTTAATTTTTTTCCATTTTCAGTAACATTTTGTGATTCAACATAGCAACTCCTTATTAAAGTTTTACAATAATGTAATCAGTTGACTCATTTTAAGATAAAAATGGAAACTAAAGAAAGTACATTTAAGAAATTTAAAGTCAAAAAAATGAAATCTAAACTTTATTCGTTTAAAAAGATTTATTTGAGGTCTTCCATCTATTAGTTCACTCTCCAAATGGCTGCAACGGTCAGAGCTGGGCGGATCCAAAGCCAGGAGCTTCTTCCCATGTAGGTGCAAGACCCCAGCACTTGGGGCCACCCTCTACTGCTTTCCCAGGCCATTACCAGGGAGCTGGATAGCAAGTACAGCACCAGGACTTGATCCGGCACTCACATGGCCACAGGTGGAGGCTTAACCCGGTATGCACAGCTCCAGTCTAACTCTTCTGTAGCATTTCCATTTTCTGCTTACTCATGGTTCTTGGACAGGTAGATACTTGTCCTATTCCAGGTACACATTTAGCTGACAGCAATCTCTGAAAAGGCAATTTTGAAAGCACTCCTTCAATATTTTAAAAATAAGTTATGTGGTGGGTAGAGTACTCCTGAGAATTTCTAAATCTTCTTTCTCATAATTTTCTGTGTGTCTGTGTGTGTGTTTTGGTAGGCACACTTGTGGAAAATGGAATTAAAAGATACATTAGGGGCTGGTGCTGTGGCTCACTTGGTTAATCCTCTGCCTGTGATGCCCGCATCCCATATGGGTGCCAGGTTCTGTCCTGGTTGCTCCTCTTCCAGTCCAGCTCTCTGCTGTGTCCCAGGAGGGCAGTGGAGGATGGCCCAAGTGCTTGGGCCCTGCACCCCATGGGAGACCAGGAAGCACCTGGCTCCTGGCTTCAGATAGGCACAGCGTGTCGACCGTAGTGGCCATTTGGGGGGGTGAACCATCGGAAAAGGAAGACCTTTCTCTCTGTCTCTCTTTCACTGTATAACTCTACCTGTCAAAAAAAAAAAAAAAAAAAAAAGATACATTATTTTGACATAAAGATTTTTGAGATCCACGTAATGGGGTGGGCTGTTGGGTGCAACAGTTAAGATGCCTGCGTTCATTCTGGTGTGCCTGGGCTTGAGTCCCAGCTGCACTTCTGGTTCAGCTTCCTCCCACAGCACTCCCTGAGAGGCAGCAGGTTCCAGTCCTCGGGTTCCTGCACCCACGTCAGTGACCTGGACTGGGTTCAGGATTTCCACTTCAGCCTTGCTCCCGTGGGCCCTTGGGGAGTAAGCCATTGGATGGAAGAGCTGTCTCTCTGCCTTTCAAACTCATAATAAAAGGAGGGGGCCGCACTATGGTGAAGTGGGTTAAAGCCCCAGCCTGCAGCACTGGCATCCCTTGTGGGGATGGCCAGAGCTGGGAGATGGAAAGCCAGGAGCCAGGAGCTTCTTCCGGGTCTCCCATGCAGTGCAGGGGCCTAAGGACTTGGGCCATCTTCTACTGCTTTCCCAGGCCATAGCAGAGAGCTGGATCGGAAGAGCAGCCGCGACTTGAACTGGCACCCATATGGAATGCCAGCACTGGAGGTGCTGGCTTTTCCTGCTATGCCACAGTGCTGGCCCCATCTCTAAATATACTTTTAAAACACCCACTGAGGGGGGGTCAGCGTGGTGGCCCAGCGGGTTAAGCTGCTACTTGGCACACCCAGTGGTCCAAGTTACAGCTTCTCTCCTTGAGACCCAACTCCCTGCTAATGCACCTGGGAAGGCAGCCATAGCCCAAGTGCTCCAGTCACCTGCATGGGAGGCCCGGATGGGGTGCTCGGCTGCTGGCTTTGGTCTGGCCCAGCCCTGGCTGTTGCAGCCATTTGGGGAGTGAACCACCAGATGGATGCTCTCTGCGTCTCTGGCCCTCTGTTTCAAGTAAATAAATAATATTAAAAAAAAAAAAACCTGCACAATTGTACTTATTAAAATGGCCAATTTTATGGTATGTGGATTGTTCCTGAAAGAAAGATGCCAACTACCGCACACTACAATACTGAGAGTCAGAAACCGCCTCAGCACCCGCGAACCCGGGACAAGGCTGCGAAATGCCGACGCCACGTGTTTGCGGCGCCCAGCGCAAAATGGCCGCTCGCAGCCCCGGCCGAGGGCCGCGCGCATGCGCCGGGGTTCGGTCTACGGAAAAAGGCGAACCAAAGGTTCCTGCTGGCGCTCGGAATTTTATATTCTGGCGCCAGTCTTTGGTCAAATGCCCACTGGAGTTTACTTTCACAGATTTAACAGACACACAGATCTGATTTACTGTTTTACTCCGCGAACTGCCAGGAGCCAGGAAGTCCACCCCGCGTCCCAAGCCCAGGAGCAAGAAGCTGGATCTCAAGCGGAGCAGCAGGTGAACCCCCGAGTTATTTATTTTTAACCCTCTTTACAGATGCACAGACCACAGAACAGGGATCCCGCCTCAATTAAAATCCCCATTGTTACGTTAAAGCCGGAGGTTGGGGTTGGAATTGCGTCTCCTGCGGGCAGCTGCCCCAGCCGGTTCCTAGTCTGCTGGCTGCACAGCTGGCTGCCCGAGACGAGGTTGGCGGACCGCCCGGGTGCGGGGCGTTTCGTGGCAGCTGGCTTCCTCGCTCAGCGTGAGGTGGACCTGGTGCAGGTTACCCTGGCGAAGTGACCACCTCGCCATAGATACCGCAGAGCCGGCGTTCGGCAAACTTAGTGAACGTCCGCCAACCAGCCGGCACGGCGCCGGGCGCTTCGCAGGCGCTCAGGGTCTGCTGGCCGCGGTGTCCACTCTTCGGGAAAAGGCGACCACGATGTGAATTTTGATAGGGCAAAGCCCCCGGCGGGTTCGCACTTCAGCTCCGGCCAGGTGCTGGGCGGGGCCTTTCAACAGCAGCGATTGGGGAAGGTTGCTTCCGGTCAGACACGGAGCGGGGACACTCGGCGCCCTCCCCACCGTGCTTACCGCTGCGGCCCCGGCCGGACAAGGCCCCCCGGGATCCACGCCCCCCAAGAACGCCGAGCTCGGGGGCCCCGCCGGGAAGCGGTCAGCGGTCCACGTGCTCACTCCTCTCCGCCCCTTTCCCTGGCCTTCCCCCTGACGCCCCGTGCCACCCCGAGCTGCGCCGCGGAAGCGGCAGACGCCCTCCGGCCCAGGCCACAGGCCACCCGGCCAGCAAGGCTTTACCTGTTTGGAAGGTCCCTTCCGGCTCCCCCGCAGGCCCTGGTTCTCAGGAGTAGGGGCGAAGCGTGGAAAAACCCGGAAAGGCCTCGGCGTAGCGTCAGTGTTTTAGGTGCGCCGGGCTTTGTGTTGTTGCAGCCGATTGGGCTACGGCGGCCGCCCTTTCCTTCTCATTGGCTGCGGTGTCTGTCTGTGGACGTCCATAGGGGGCGTTCTTATGGAGAGGGCGGGCAGTGCGGTTTCGGCTCCGCCCGGGCCCGGCCTGTCCCGGCTCGGCGCGGTTGTGGGCGGGGACTGGGCTAGCTGGGAGGCGGGGCCCGGCGTGCTTCGGGGCGGGGCTGGGCGCCGCCCTGGGAGCTGCGGGCTGGCGAGGCGAGCTTCTTCGAAGCGGTGGAAGCCGTGTTGCGGTGCCGCTGACCTACTGGTCTGACCCCGGAGAAGCCCTCTTGCTTCTCGGAGCTACCATTTAAGCCCCCACACCAAGATTTGAGGAGGAGAAAAAAATTGTGTTGTGGGGAAAGGACTGCGGGGGCTCTGAGGTGAGGGAGGGAGCAAGGAACAGTTGGTGACTTCTCGTCAGGGGCCGAGGTGGCTGAGGAGGTGCAGAGGAGCATGCCCTGGGCTGGCGGTTCTAGGGCTAGTCCTGCTTTTTTTAAAAGAACTATTTATTTTTATTTAAGAGGGAGGGTCAGAGGGAAAGGTCCTCCATCCGCTGGTTCACTCCCCAAATGGCTGCAGTGGCTGGAGCTGGGCAGATCCAAAGCCAGGAGCCAGGGCTTCTTCCTGGTCTCCCTCATTGAGGGTGCAGCCGCCCAAGCACTTGGATCTCTTCAGCTGCTTTCCCAGGCCATAGCAGAGAGCTGGATTGGAAGTGGAGCAGCCGGGACTCGAACTGCTGCCCATCCCATATGGAATGCTGGCATTCCAGGTGGAGGCGTAACCTACCGCACCACAGTTCTATTTCCTACTTTCTGAGTGACCCAGAAAGGGAGTCTATTCCCTTCGCTCTGCCTTAATTTCTTCTGGTGAGACAGAGAAGTTGATCTAACTCGAAGTTTGTTCACATAGCCAGTATTTCCAGAATGATCCATGGGTGCTGTCCTACTTCTCAGGATCGGTTGTCAGCCATGCGATGCTCTCAGAGGAACAGGGAAGCCTGTGATAGGCACCTGGCTGGATGCGGCGGTTTTGTGAGGAGAGCTGGGTTCAAATAGGCCAGGCTCAGTGGGAGCACCATGTGCTCCGTTAGCCCAGAGCCCTGTGGGTGGCTGGACCCGTGAGAACCAGGCTGCGGGTTTGCTGATGGTACCTGTGTGTAGGATTTTGCCTCTTAGGGAGTTGACCAACAAGGGCAGAGTGTGGCATGGAACTGGCTGATGGTGAGGGAAACGAGGGTATAGAGTGAAGTCAACATACAGCGCAGCTTCAGGAGGCTTGGGCACCCTGGAAGGGAAGGCGGAGAGAGTTCTGGGCTGGACGCACAGTATGGCTGCAGGCCCCTGCGAGGAGTCAGTTTGGCTGCTAGGGAGGGGAGTCTTGGCAGCAACCCTGGCAAGTGAGGTTGGGGCTTGATAATGCAAGGCCTCCAAGGCCCGGGCACGGTGGCAGTGGGAGGCTCTGAAGCACCAGCCCTGTACTCAGGAGGAAATGACCTGGGCAAGCTCCATCCGGGAGATTGGAGAGGGGGCTGCGGAAGGTAGCTACCAGGCTTCTGAATGCCCATCAGAGCTGAGCCAGGACGGTGGCAGCCGGCCTGGAAGGGAGCGATGTGAGGGAGAATCTGCAGGATTTGAGCTCTTTTGGGAGAGGCAGACTGGGGTCCATGCTGGAGAGCTGAGGTCGCTGAAGGAAATGGGGAGGGGTTGGCTTGGTGCTTGCTCAGTGAATAAATGGCAAACAGGCCGATGCCACGGCTCAATAGGCTAATCCTCTGCCTTGCTGTGCCGGCACACCGGGTTCTAGTCCCGGTCGGGGCGCTGGATTCTGTCCCGGTTGCCCCTCTTCCAGGCCAGCTCTCTGCTGTGGCCTGGGAGTGCAGTGGAGGACGGCCCAAGTGCTTGGGCCCTGCACCCCATGGGAGACCAGGAGAAGCACCTGGCTCCTGGCTTCGGATCAGCGTGGTGCGCTGGCCGCAGCGCGCCAACCGTGGCGGCCATTGGAGGGTGAACCAACGGCAAAGGAAGACCTTTCTTTCTCTCTCTCTCTCTCTCTCACTATCCACTCTGCCTGTCTTTAAAAAAAAAATAAAAAATAAAAAAAAGCAAACAGCCAGCCAGCCAGTCAGCCAACTCGTGAATATCTAGTAAGGGAACAGTGGTGCAGGCAACGGATGTCCCCCGGGGACCTGTAACAGCATCAAACAGAACATCAAAGACCTTTTGCAATGGGCAGAAGAAGCTTGACCTTGGGCCATCCTCCCAGGTAAGAAGAGGCTACGACACCTACCAAGAAGGTTGCTGCGAGGAGCAGAGGCTATGAGAACCCCTCACCTGGCGCTTGCTCTACAGCTCCCATTGGTTGAGCAGCCGCTCTTGTGAGCGTGTGGTGTGTGTTACCATCAAAAATGAAAACAGTGACTTGTTTTCCATTTGATCTCCAGAATTGGAAGCCAGGTCAGATGATTTCTTTTTGGTTGAGGTGGGATCTAAATGAATGCGAAATTTGACTATGCAAAAAAAAAAAAAAAATGAGGGTACCTCAAAATATTGGTGGAAAGTGAACTTAAAATTAGTTTGTTTTGGAGCAAAAAACTTGAAATCCATGCATAGTTTTTTCATAAAACTTAATTTTCATGAACTTTTTGACATCCCCTTGTACTTTGCTAGTCCATGTATTAGGTATTTCCTAAGACCTTCTCCTAGATTTATTCTTTTAGTTACAACTCTCTGAGGTAGATGCTAGTAGTATCATTAATAATTTGATAAATTGAGTGACAGAGGTTAAGTGACTGTTGCATGGTCACGTAGCAATTGAGTGGGCAGAGAAGAGTTTGTGGTCTCAAGGCAAATGCTATCATATATAGAGTTGAAAGAAAAATGCATATTAGATATAAAATACTTGCAACTCACATCACAGGAAAAAGGCTAATTATCCTAGTGTATAAAGTGCTCCTACAAATAAACTCAGTAGATAAAATGAGCAGTAACTATAAGAAAATACAGAAAAGGAAGTGAATATGAAATGATATTCTACTTCACCAATCTAAGAATATATTTCAAAATTCTTCTGACATATCCTTAAAAAAAAAAGATTTATTAATTTGTTTGAAAGTCAGAGTTACACAGAAAGAGAAGGAGAGACAGAGAGAGACAGAGAGGTCTTCCATCTGCTGGTTCACTCCCCAGTTGGCTGCAACCACCAGAGCTGCACTGATCAGAAGCCAGGAGCCAAGAGCTTCTTCTGGGTCTCCCATGAGGGTGCAGGGGCCCAAGGACTTGGGCCATCTTCCACTGCTTTCCCAAGCCATAGAAGAGAGCTGTATTAGAAATGGAGCAGCCGTGACTCAATCTGGCGCCCACGTTGGGTGCTGGCACTGCGGGTGGTGGTTTTACCTGCTATGCCATAGCACCAGCCCCTGACATATCCTTTTTCATAGTCAGTCACAATCCAGTGTTTGTACCAATCTAATAAGGTAGTTAATAGTAAGGCTGTCATACAATCATGGAAGGGGAGTTAGTTTGGCAATATTTATCTGAAGTTCAAAATGCACATGCCTGTGAATTAGCACTGCTAGGAACATATCTTTAAGTTGTATTTGCTTCTATCAAAGTGAGTAGGCACATGGAGCCTAGGTTTTTTTTTTTTTTAAGAGTATGCAAGTTTCACTTTATTTCGAGCCAAGTCACATTTTCCTTTTCAGTAGATGCTTGAGCCAAACAAGCAAATGCAAATGAAAATACTAGGAACATCTTCATGTCTCAACTTTTAATCCAATTTGTCTTTTACTGTCTTTTCTATTTCTTCCACTCTTTTCCTTTATAATTTATTTTTATTTTTATTTTTTTTGACAGGCAGAGTGGACAGTGAGAGAGAAAGACAGAGAGAAAGGTCTTCCTTTGCCGTTGGTTCACCCTCCAATGGCGTGACCGCACCGCGACCGGCGTGCTGCGGCCGGCGCACCTCGCCAATGCAATGGCAGGAGCCAGGTATTTATCCTGGTCTCCCATTCGGGTGCAGGGCCCAAGCACTTGGGCCATCCTCCACTGCACTCCCAGGCCACAGCAGAGAGCTGGCCTGGAAGAGGGGCAACCGGGACAGAATCCGGCACCTCGACCGGGACTAGAACCCGGTGTGCCGGCGCCACAAGGCGGAGGATTAGCCTAGTGATCTTTGGTGCCGGCCAGCCCAGCCCCTTTATTTTACAAATTGAGGTAACCAAGATAAAAATAACCTTGAGGGTGCAGAAGTTAGTGCTTAACTGGAACAAAACCCCAGCTCTCTGGAATCCTCAGTTTTTTCCCCACACCTGGCTGTGGCAGGGAGCGTGATTTATAATATTGAAAGTTTGTAAAGCCATCTTAAGGTACATTAGAAGACTAGTTAAAAAAAAAAAAAAAGCAAACAGATGGGCTCATAACTTAGATGGTGGCTGAGAGAGAGACGCAGTGAAGCCACTGGCACATGGGCTTCTGCAGGTGACAGGGAATGGAAATGACCGTAAACACTGCTGCAGTGCAAGAAGGAGGCCACAGCTACACTGAGGGTTAAGAGATCCAATTTGGGTCCAGTCTCCCTCACCCTGGGTCTCTCGGGGAGTGGAGAAGGCACAGGGAGATTAATCTAACTCCACTCCCATATATTTTTTTAAAGATTTATTTATTTATTTGAAAGTCACAGTTATTCACAGAGAGAAGGAGAAACAGAGAGAGAAAGATCTTCCATCCGCTGGTTCACTCCCCAATTGGCCACAACTGCTGGAGCTGTGTCCATCCGAAGCCAGGAGCCAGGAACTTCTTCCAGGTCTCCCATGTAGGTTCAGGGGCCCAAGGACTTGGGCCAATTTTTATTGCTTTCCCAGGCTATAGCAGAGAGCTGGATCAGAAGTGGAGCAGCTGGATCTTGAACTGGTGTCTATATGGGATGACAGCACAGCAGGTGGCAGCTTTACCCGCTATGCCACAGAACCAGCTTCCCATATTCTTTTTTAAGATTTATTTATTTACTTGACAGGTAG